TTCGGTGGCATGACAAACGTGATGTCACATTGTTGACATCAGTTCACCGAAACGAAATGGCACACACTGGCAGGCACAATAGAGAGAGCAATGAACCCATTCTAAAACCTGCAGCTGTCATGGACTACAACCTCAATATGCACTTAGTGGACAAATGTGGCATGCAGACTGAGTTTGCTGATTGTGTATGCAAGAGATATAAGTGGTATATAAAACTTTTTTTCCATCTTCTTGATATTTCCATGCTAAATGCTTATAACATATACAAGTTGAGGACCAACAACAAACCAAAATATGGTGAATTTTGTTTGTCAGTCATCAGACAAATAATCGTCAAGTACCAAGGAGCAACACCTGCAATAGACCAGTGCCCGCGAAATTACCAACACATGCCATCTTGTTTGAGGCCTGGTGATCACTACCCCATACAACTGCCTCCTACTGCTTTCAAGAAAAGTGCTCAGAAGAGGTGTTTTGTATGTGGACATACCACAAAATGCCCACAAACATGCAGAGACACTCGTTTTATGTGAGAGGAGTGTCAAGTGCCCCTCTGCATATACCCATGTTTCAAAGAGTTCCACAAGCTGCAGCAGTTCTAGGAAAGTGTTCAGTGACTGTACATATGTATATATATTATGGAACAATAGTAATAAACATTGTTTTGTATTGTTTGTTTGTGTATACAAGTTTTATACACAATCTAATAGTGATAATGTTTGTTCAGTTATTGTGTTGTAAACAATGAGTGTATATATGAACAATGCACCTTACTTTGGTCTCACAGGCCACATAAGTTACTCAGAAATGAAAAATTGGTAAATACAAGAAACCTTTGAATAAGAGTAAATAAAAGAATACCGGGTGGGCGGCATTCACCGCTGTTGCCATACACCGTTCATTTTCTGCCAACTTTGCACCTCTATATCTCTGTAAGTACTGATGGTAATTTTTTTTTTTAGGCTAAAACACTCGGTAAAATAATCCTAACATTTTGGTAAGAATTTTTTTTTTTCGAATACTATTTTGCGACATAGAATGACAGTTTCAGAAAGGGGCTTGTGACAGTCAAAGGGTTAAACCTGGAGGGGCTGGTTCCAAATCCGCAAACTAAAATTATCCCTACAAGAGAGGGACATTTAGTGCAAATAACTCCAATGAAAAGCACCAACAGATCGCTTACAGTCTTGAGGGAACCCTATCTAAGGTATGCTACCACTCCATGTGATGATCCGCAACAGTCAACTAACAGTCAAGTACTAACTTACTGTTAGGTGAATAGGAAAAGGTGTAAGGAAACATGCCCAATGTTTCCACATGTGCTGGTATCAAACCACGAACACTAAGTATATGAGATGAGTGCTCTACCAACTGAGCCATGAGACTCGACCCTTTTCAGGGTTGGAATCCCCAATCTGAAACCAGCCCTCAGGGTTGGAGAACTTAAAAAAAAAAAAAAAAAAATTATTCTTTCTTATGAAATGACAGAGAATCTTATCCTGAAGGTAATGAAACCAAAAGTATGAAATTTGATGGAAAACTTACGGAATTATGCTCTCGCAAAGTTAGTACAGTGGAACTCCGGTTTTCGTCCAGTCCAGTTACTGTACAATTCAGTTTTCGACCACTTTTTTCGGTGAAATTTTCCCGGTTTTCGTACATCTGCTCGGAAATCATCCATACCAGATGCGTCCGCCTGCCCGTGGGACACAGCCGCTCATACACTTGTGATTCAGTCTGCCTTTTTTACTTGTTCAGTGAGCATTACTCAGAGTGTTCATCCCAAACATTTTGTAATAATCCATTGTTTTTAGTGCTTGTGACTGCTACATAAGCCACCAGCCCTTTGGTAAAGAAGGTGAGAAACACGACAGAATTCAAGAAAGAACTCGTAGAAAAATATGAAAGTGGCGTATGTGTGGCCGAGCTCGTCAGGATGTATGGGAAATCCAAATCAACAATCAGTTCCATCCTGGCGAAGAAAAAAGAAATCAAGGAAGCTGATGTTGTGAAAGGGGTAAATGTGCTAACAAAACAGAGATTGCAAATGATCAAAGATGTTGAGTTGTTGGCGGTGTGGATCAACCAGAAACAGTTAGCGGGAGATAGTGCTGTGGAGGTGATAATTTGCGAAAAGGCACGGCAGTTGCATGCGGATCTCATAAAGAAAATGCCTGGAGTGAGTGCTGTTTAGTGAATTTAAGACCAGCAAAGGCTGTTTTGATAGATTCAAGAACCAAAGTGGCATACACAGTGTGGTAAGGCACAGTGAGGCTGCAAGTTCGGACAAATGTGGGGACGAAGAGTCTTCAATAAAGGTAAAAGTAATGTTAAATGTTCATTTATCCATTTCATTAGTGCTTTATATTTATTTCTCATTCTTTTCTGTATATAAAACTATAGTTATTTTCTACAAAATTTATTTTTTGTTAATATTTTTGGGTGTCTAGAATGGATTAATTGAATTTACATTATTTCTTATGGGAAATATTACTTAAGTTTTCACATAAATCGGTTTTCAGCCGACCTTCTGGAACAGATTAAAGACAAAAACCGGGGTTCCACTGTAGTCTCAGGGATATTTACACATCAGCAATTTTACCCACTTTCAGCCCTATTTTTGCCCAATTCCATTCTAAGAAATGGGTATAAGAAATAGCCCATTTACCTATTTCAACTACCCAAGAAAGTGATCATAAATTAGTAATTTGGCCAATTTCACACAAAATTAAAAAACTGCCAATTTAACAACTGGGTCAGGAATAAACAATGTAGACATTCCTGGCACTAAAAAACATTTCCTCAGTTCATTAGTTACATCCCCAGTCCTCTCCTGTATTGCACTTGCTTTTCATTTTGAATTTCTATTTACACAAAAAATAGATGATTTACTGTATGACTTACTGTAATAATTGTAAAAATAATGTCAGCACATTTGTAAACATACATTAGACTGACCAGCTGGACATGAACTGGATGAGTGACATATGTGTAGCCTGGAAAATCAGCTAAATTCTAACATTTTCACTAATTTGAGCTCAATATCGAGCTACTTCCCATCCTGAAACCATTCAAAATTATCTCTATTTCTGTAATATATTTTCCATTGTATCAAATAAGACCAAGAAACCAAGGATACAACCATAAAAATTATACAAAAATAGAACAGGACTGACCCGGGCTTCAAAGCCATGATACAACGAGACTCACCCTGAAGGGGTTAATAAGTACATCTCATCAGTTCTTAATTGGCTATACTGTGGTGCCTATTTGGACTGTGGCCTGTTAATATGAACAGCATGATTGATTAAGCCTCCAACCAGGATTCCTGGTTCACCAGGCCATGGGGGCAATGGCCCTCCCGAGTTGACAACTGGTAAATGTCCAACATGTATGCAAAACTAAGATATTTATTGAAGGAGATGTTTTGCCATTAATGGCTTTTTATATCTTAACAGAAAGAGCAAAACACACTATAACAGAGATATCAGGCATGACTAAAAGAGAGAGCTCAAATGGTGAGATCACTTGTCAAGAGAGGAGTGGGTGGGGCTGTGTACTACATGAGTGAGAAGAGTGTGTATAGGATCCCTTGCATGGAATACAAGGTCAACACAGCTGACAACAGATAAACATATTTGGGAACACAGGTATGCTTGCAGCTATGATATGAACAACACGTGTGCCCAACATCAGAGCACACATGGTCACATCATGAGGTGAGAGGGGCAGAACTATTCATCAGTGATTTATTTAGACATCAGTGCAGTAGGCCTAATGGCCCATGCTAGGTAGGTCCTCAACATTAAACTATTTTCACTCATTCAGTATTTGGCCCTCACTACTGTCTTTCTGGGTTGAATCTGACATGCAGTTTTAACTACCTATGTATTAGGAATGAAAAAACCCATATTGTACTTGTACAGGTAGACTTTAGGAATGTGAGAACCACTGAACAATCATCATTGTGCTGACTCAATGAGCCTACATTCAAAACCTCTTAACACTATGGTATTAGTTTAACAACCCTACACTAATGACCTTTTAACACTATGATACTGAGTTTTATAACCTCTTAACACTGTCACTAATTTACTGAACCTACACTACACCTTTTAACTTTTAAGCAAATTTTGTGACCTTATTTTTATTAAAATGTTTAAAAAAGGTGTTCAGTCCCTCTGTTCATGAGAATCACATACAAGGAAGGTCACATGAAGCCAACAAGAACCTTCTGTGAATCTTTCTACACCACATGCTCAAACTAATCATAGAATCATGTTGAAAATGGATTCATTGAATTTCCCAAACCTCAGACAGTTTCCACAGCAATCTAGTTTTATCAAATTGCCTATTTATGATATGAAATATGGGCAGTGTGCTGTTGCTGATTCATCTGAGAAGTGTTCAATTCTTCTGAACACTAAAGTTGACCAACATTCTTGAGAAGTAACTGCTGAGACAGTGTTTGGGTAAATACTGTTTTACTGATTCACAAACAATAAAGAATCATGGCATTTTCATGCTTAAATTAATGTTTCAATCTTACCATGCATAGTGACCTCGCACTGTATGTTCAAATGAAAACAGTTCAGAATTAAATTTCTAAATTCTTTTGCAATAACAGCAATGAAAAATTCTGAATATGTACATTCATTACTGTGATGTGAATGGTTTAAGAAAACTGACATACATTATTCTTCCTTCATTCTTAGTTTTTGTTTATGACACTATTAATTATATCGTGAATATCTTTACATGATAATAATATTATGGGTTGAACAATACTTTTCATGTGTCATGATTCAATGCAGAGTTTATGAAGCCTCAGACTGGAATAAAACTTTGGTAAACTTACTGAAAGTATTAATACCCCCATTGAACATATAATAACTGGAATGTTAGGGTGAGATTTTGAACATGATGATTCATCTGGGATCATGGGTTACCACAGGAAACAATCAATAAAAAATGTAAGAGAAAATTCATGGGTAACGTACCATTAACAAAGTTGGGAACCTCGTGCTTCTTGAAGTACATGGGAGGTATCCGAGGGTCAGATGGGAACTCCTTCATCTCAAAACTTGTTGTCTTAGATATTATTAGACCCATTGCCAAATCACACACTGCCCACAGTTTCTGGAATATAAATATTTCAGAGAAATAATAAACAATCACATTTCTGCTAAAAAATGATAATCATTAAATTTTAAATGCAAAAATATCACCACCCAACCATCAGAGCACAGCCACTGTGTTTCTCACCTTCAAGGTTTTAAGTTCGGCTTACTGGTTCAACTGAATTCCCTTATAAATGTTACCTTGCTCACACTACCAATATGTCAAATCTGAAAAACCACTTATCTCTACTCAGTATGATCTAACAATCCTCTGAACTATCAAATTATTTAAGAAAGTTAAAACACTTTGGTGATATCTACAACACAGGTTTAGACAAGACTGTGAGAGGCAATATGTCTACAACCGAAGACAATGGACAAGCAACCAATATACAGTGGAACTCTGGATTTCATACTTAATCTATTCCAAAAGGACGGTCTAAATACGAAAAGTATGAAAACCGAAGTAATATTTCCTATAAGAAATAATATACAGTGGAACTCCGAGTTTCATACCTAATCTGTTCCAGGAGCTAGGACTAAAGTCTAAATGTACTAAAGTCGAAGCAATATTTCCCATAAGAATTAATGTAAATACAATTAATCCATTCCGGGGAGTTGGGAATCCCCCTCCATAAGGACTTCAGGTATCAAAGCCTCTAGTGTAATTTCCCTTCTTTGTCTTTTACTGCTACAGTACATTCATTACTTACCTTAAAATATTTGTAGGCTTAATGTAGGGCTAGATGTGAGTAGCATTTATTTGTAGGAATTCAGTGTAGGCAGCCTGTTGATGTAGGTACACGTATGTAGCCCCCCTGGGCTACACTACACAGCCATATTATTACCATGTTCACTGAGTTTAATCATTTCTAACAACTACCTTTAGATGCCATCATAAACAAAGGGAGAAGTAATGAATAATTCATGCAGAGAATTGTAAACAAAAGCCTTACGTATTAAGGGCGGTTACTGGGCAAGACGCCAGATTCAGTTTTCTCAAGTGCTGCATCTTAGAAAACGTAATGTTTACCTTCCACCCTCCTTGATTCGCCGTGACTAACCACTTGATAGCGTGTAAACATTGCATGTTTATATGCTATGTAACATGTTTCTTATATAATTTTGAAGAAAATATCATAGATGGATTAATGAAAATGTCTATATTAACCTAAAATAAGACATTTAATGTGCCCAAGAGTGATTATTATTAAACATACACCGCATATAAACATTGTATGTTTTTATATATACAGTGGTATTTCAAGTTTCGTACAGTTCTCAACTCGAAGAATTATGTAAGTATATTTTTGTAAGTGCTTTTCTAAATGTATTTTTGGGGGTCTGAAACGGACTAATCTAATTTACACTATTCCTTATGGGAACAAATTCGTTCAGTATCGGCACACGAACAGCCTTCTGGAACGAATTAAGTTCGTAACTCAAGGTACCACTGTACCATGTAATGTGTTTCTTATATTATTTTGAAGAAAATATCATAGATGGATTAATGAAAATGTCTATATTCACTCGAGGAGAAACAAAGCCACAGTGACTCGCGACTGCACGGCCAGGCGGACAGGTCTGGTACGCGGGACGAAACACAGGGCACAGTACGAAACTCGGGACAAAATTGGGCAGAAAAAAAACGGTTCTAAACTCGAAGCGTATGATAGTTAGGGTGTACGAAACTCAGGGTTCCACTGTAAATACAATTAGTCCATTCCAGACACCCAAAAATATTAACAAAAAATACATTTTTTAAAGAATAACTATAGTTTTACATACAGAAAACAATGAGTAATAAATATAAAGCACTCATGAAATGGATAAATGAACATTTAAATCACTATTACATACCTTTATTGAAGACTCTTGTTGGTGTATGGAAGAAGGCGAGGAGGGGAGAGAGGAGAGAGCTTATTGCTTGGAAGGGGAATATCCCTCCATAAGGACTTCAGGTATTAAAGCCCTATCCAGGGTTACTTCCCTTCTTTGTCTTTTACTGGCACTGGACCCCTGTCGCACTAAAAATCAATCCAGAGAGCTATGTTTCTGGCGTCTCTTTAAGATTTGCCTAAAATGGGACAAAGTATTGTCACTGAACATGTTGCAGATGTGGCTTGTATCAGCTTGGTCAGGGTGATATTTTTCCACAAAAGTTTGCAACTCTTTCCAATTTGCACACATGTCCTTAATCAGTGAAGAAGGCACCTTCTCCCATCTCTCTTCCTCCTCCTCCTCTGAAGCAATTTCCTCAGCTGTGGTCTGTTGTTGTTCCAGTTGAAGGTCTTGCAGCTCTTCAGTGGTTAGCTCTTCCCTGTGGTCCTCCACCAACTCCTTCACATCCTGGCTATTCACCTCCAACCCCATGGATATCCCCAAAGGCACAATAGATTCCACAACAGGCATAGGGTCATCAGGGTCAGCCTCAAACCCTTCAAAATCCTTCTTTTGGACACATTCTGGCCACAATTCTCCCCAAGCAGAGTTCAAAGTCCTGGAAGTCACTCTCTGCCAAGCCTTATCTATAAGGCTTATGCAATGGAGGATATTGAAGTGATTCCTCCAGAACTCTCTTAGGGTTAATTCAGTGTTCGAGGTCACTTCAAAGCACCTTTGAAACATTGCTTTCCTGTAGAGTTTTTTGAAGTTAGAAATGACCTGCTGGTCCAAGGCAGAATTAGAGGAGTGGTGTTAGGAGGCAAGAACTTCACTGTTATAAAACTGAAGTCCCTGAACAATTGCTCTTCCATGTCTGGAGGATGAGCAGCAGCATTGCCCAGTACCAGGAGGCACTTCAGTGGCAAGTTATTTACCAGGAGGTACTTTTTCGCACTCGGGCCAAACACTTCATGGTCGCAGTCAATGAAAATTTGCCTTGTGACCCGTACCTTATTATTAGCTTTCCACATCAGACACAATTTACTCTTGATGACGCTGTTTTTCTTGAACACTCGGGGATTTTCAGAGTGATACACCAGTAAAGGCTTCACTTTGAAATCCCCACTAGCGTTACCACAGAACAAAAGAGTTAGCCTATCTTTCATAGGCTTGTGTCCTGGCAGTCTTTTCTTCCTGCGTGATGTAGGTCCTCTTTGGCATTTTCTTCCAAAAGAGGCCTTTTTCATCACAAGTGAGCACTTGTTGGGAGACGAATCCTTCAGCCTCTATGTACTCCTTGAATTCTTCAGCTGCACGTTTGTCTGAACTTGCAGCCTCACCATGCCATACAACACTGTGTATGCCACTATGCTTCTTGAGTCTGTTGAACCAGCCTCTGCTGGCCTTAAATTCACTAACAGCTGCCCTCGTTCCAGGCATTTTCTTTACGAGATCCACATGCAACTGCCTTGCCTTTTTGCAGGTGATCGACTCTACAACACTATCTCCCACTAACTGTTTCTCAATGATCCACACCAACAACAACTTCTCCACATCTTTGACTGTTTGTGATCTCTGTTTCGTTAGCATATTTACCCCTTTCGCAACTTTAGATTCCTTGATTTCTACTTTCTTTGCCAGGATGGAACAGATTGTTGATTTCGACTTCCCATACATCCTCGCAAGCTCAGCTAAACATATGCCACTTTTGTATTTTTCTACAATCTCATTCTTGAATTCTATCGTCTTTCTCACCTTTACAAAAGGGCTGGCACCAGGAACTTTACATGGGCCCATGGTGGCTTATTTCGCAGTCACACTCAATAGTTAAGCACAAAAAACAATGGATTATTACGAAATGTTTCGGATGAATGTGTGAAGTAATGCTCACTTGACAAGTGACAGAGCCAGACTGACACACATACGCATGAGTGGCGGCTTCCTGGGCGGGCGAACGCGTCAGATATGTACGATTTCCGGGTGGAGGTATGAAATCCGGACCAAAATTTCGCCCTAAAAAAAGTGGTCTAAATTCAAAATGTACGATACTCGGTGCATACAAAATCCGGAGTTCCACTGTATACAATTTTTTTTAATTCCATGGGGAAGCGGAACAGAATTCTTCTTCCATAAGCCATGTGTGTCATAAGAGGTGAATAAAATGCCAGGAGCAATGGATTAGTAACCCCTTCTCCATGTAAATATTACTAAATGTAAAAGGAGAAAGTTTCGTTTTTCCTTTCGGGCCACCCTGCCTTGGTGGGATGCGGCTAGTGTGTTGAAAGAAAATAAACACTTCAATAATATCTGCAACACAGGTTTAGACAAAACTGTGAGAGGCAATATGTCTACAGCTAAAGACAATGGACAAGCAACTAATACAGAATACAGTGGAACCCTGGATATCGGCCAATGTGAGTATCGGCCAAATCGGATTTCAACCGCTTTTTTGGCTGAAATTGTCCTGGATTTCAGCTGGCAACTCAGAAATCGGCCGTATTGGATGCGTCTGCCCATGACTCCTGCATTCGTGAGTCAGTTTGGCTGTGTCTTTGGATGAGTCAGCAACATTCTGAGCATTCATCCAAACGTTTTGTTATAATCCATTGTTTTTTGTGGTTGTTTATTAAGTATGACTGCAAAATAAGCCACCATGGGCCCAAAGAAAGTTCCTAGTGCCATCCCTTTCGTAAAAGACTGAAAGAGAGGGGAGATTGTGCCTTCTTCAGTGATTCTACAATATGTACGATACTAAAGCAGCAAGAGTCGATAAAGGCTATAGCACCAGCCAGTGATAAAGTGTAGCATTAACAGTGTAGAAAGTAAGCTAAGCGATTAAGCGATAGAAATAGGATGACACGAAACTAACTCCTCCTATGTTGTTGGAGGTGTATACCTTTGATATACAGTGGACCCCTGCATAACGATTACCTCCGAATGCGACCAATTATGTAAGTGTATTTATGTAAGTGCGTTTGTACGTGTATGTTTGGGGGTCTGAAATGGACTAATCTACTTCACAATATTCCTTATGGGAATAAATTCGGTCAGTACTGGCACCTGAACATACTTACGGAGTGAAAAAATATCGTTAACCGGGGGTCCACTGTATACCTTTGAAAAATTTCGAGAGTA